TACTGGTTTTCCATTGTATCATGGGAAATGGACGTCTGAATTGAACCTCAAGTACTTACGGTGATGTGACGAATCTATTTTAAGTACACTATGTAGTGCAGAGTCCGCGATTTGCACAATTTTGTCTTTTTAAAGATGACATATTTACACGGTATTATTTTGTGGTCGATTTCCTTCTGAAATAGTAACCATTGTTATATTATGCTATTGTATTTATTCTATTCTAAATTTACATAATTCTGCAAGTTATTTCGAACAACATGAACTACTTTTTCACAAACAAAAATTTTACCAGACAAGCATTCAAGTTAAAGTGGATTGTGATAAAAGAGGGCTAATACTAAAATCGAAAAATACGCTTTTATGTTCTTTTATCGTAATTATGTGCACAATAAATGCTTTGACAAATAAAATCGCCACCTTTAATTTCTTCACACTATATTCTCGTTACTCTAATTTGTGAACAACCCAACTTCACCTTTCTTCTTAAATAAATGTGTATTACATACTCTTGTGTTCATGTAATATGTTTCTTTCACTACAATATGGATCGATAGTTTAATATTATCTACCCTTTGTGATTACTGAAATGGTGTTTATATTTTGTCTAATTCTTTACTTTAATTTGATTAGGTACATGTTGTATTAAATTAAGGAAAAGAAGCGATAAAAAAAAAAGAAGGAAAAATTGGAGTATAAAAGGGAGAATGAATAATTGTTATGATCTTTTAATACAGTTAAAATGTGATGTGTATAAAATAAAAATTTAAAATTTTCCAGCTAGGAAAAAAATTGCAAAATAAAAAGAATTTTATTAAAATGCATATTGGACTGGGACTGTTCGCTGTTGTATTCTAAAACCTCGCGGGTGAGTGGAGCTGTTGGTTTTTCACCTCGGAGTACTTAGGGGACACTCAAGGTTGTGTCACTTCAGTCCCGTTGAAAATGGCAAATTTATGGCCAATAAATTTGTGCAGGTGCCCTAAACATAGACCCCCCCCCCACCCCTTCCCACACTGACTTAGCAAGATCCGGATACGATCACCAGGTCCTCTTGTCATTTCCTATAGCTCCTGCCGGCGGTGAGTGATCCCAACACAAGATTGCATGAATGTGGGAATCGAGAAATTTTGTTATTCACTCCAACAAATTTTTTATTTTAACCCTATTTTTTCAATGAACATTTATTATATGTTAATAACCAATTAATTCAAATGTGATTTGAATAATTTAAACTATAGTTTATTGAAGTTTGTAATTATTAAATGCAGTCATTATTAATTAAAAATAGAGACGGGAATGGACTCTCTAAATTTGCAGAGTCAAATTCATTCTTTTTTAAAAAAAGTTAAAATAGAAAGTATATCGGAACATGTTTCTTAACATTAACTCTAGGGGTGGATACAGTTCCATTTGGTTCTAGTTTCAAGGAATCAAATCAAATCCAACGATGAACCCATGATTTTTTTGATAATGAAACCAATTTTTTTTTTAAATATGAAATCAAACTGGAATCGAACCGAGTTCCAATTTCAGTACTAATTGATATATATATATAT